AGAAGTATAAAATAATAAAAATAGAGAAAATATTTTTAAAAAATAAGTGAATACATAAAAAATAAACTGATTTCAAAAAGACAACTGAACAGTGTACCTCGAAGACTCAGAACAGCAAGAAAAACCCCTCAAATTAGTAAGAAGTATAAACATCAGAGCTAAAATAAAGGAAATTTAAATAAAAAAATTAATCAAGTGAGTTGGTATTTTGAAATGATAAAGATGATTGGCAAATGCTTAGCTACAGACAAAGAAATAAAACTTAAACCAATAAAGTCAGACATACAAATGGAGACACTGAGCTGATACCACAGAGCTATGCAGGACTGTAAAAAACTACTGTCAACAATTACATACAGACTAAAGAAAATGTTATGATGTGGAGGAGTTTCAAAGCATACTAAGTCAATGAAGCCCAATGAAGGAGGCCTTGTACTGTATGACTCCACTTACATGTAATGCTCAGGAGAGCAAACTCATTGAGACAGAAAATAGATTAGTGGCTACCAATGGCTGCTGATGAGAAAAGGGGAAATGCTAAAGAGACCAGGTTCTGTTGGGGAATTAAGTAGCCGTGATAGATGATTTTGCAACTTTTGAATACACTAAACACTGAATAGTTCTTTTTAAAAGGATTAATTTTATCTTGATACCAAATAAATTTTAAATGAACAAAATACTTTTGTAACTAGCAGTTGAAGAATTGCTAAGGCTCAGCAGTTCAGACCACTTGCTGCTCTTGCAGAGGACCTGAGTTTGGTTCCCAGCAGCCATGTCTGACAGCTTACGATTAACTGTAACTCCAGCTCAGGAGATTCGATGCCATCTCTTAGCTTAATAAGCACCTGTACACATACACACAGATGGAGAGAAATACACACACACACACACACACACACACACACACACACACATGGAAATGAAAAAATACATCTAAAGAAACTAAATTAAAGAATGCATTTCCCACTGTCTTGGCAGATAGTTTTAAAAATAAGAATACTCAGAACTGACAAGAGTGATGATGTCATGGATTGCTATAAAAACTGTAAACTTATACATCCTTTCTAGAAAATAATTTGGTAGTATGTATCAATAATCTCAAAATTCTTAAAATGCTTACCGTAGTTACTAAATGAAACTACTACTAGGAATCTTTGTTTGATATTTGGCATATGGGGGTGAAACCGTATCAATTTTTATGAACATCACTTTCCCTCTGTATTAGGTAGAAGGATGAATTAAGGGGACTGGAGAGACGGCTTAGAGGTAAAGCACTGCCACAAAGCATGAAGATCTCCAGTACACTCTAATGCTAAGTAGGTGTGGCTGCAGGAAATTCCAGCACTCAGTGTGGAGACTGATCACCAGAGCAAGCTGGCTAGTAGCTAGTCTAGTCAAATTATGAGCTCTGGGTCCTTCAAGAGAGCCTGCTTCAATACACAAGGTGGAGATGGATGGAAAAAGACACTTCTGACATGCACATATGTATGCTTGCAGCTCCATACACACACACATCACATATGGAAAAGAATGATTCTCATCTTTACCCTGGGTTTGTTTGGATTGTAAATTAGAGTTCATATGATTTGTATTTTTTTCATTTGTATAGTTCTATTCATGCTCACATGAAGGAAATCTTAGAAACATTATCAAGTTTACCTTACTCTGTAAATTTTCAGTTTTGAACATATTATTTGTTGTGTACATAAAACTTACTATGAGACTCTGGTAACATATAAATAAATGTGAAATGTACATTCAAAATACATATTCAGTGGTTTTTACTGAAAGGTCTCACAGTCTTGGCAATCACCTCAGTATCCTACAAGAGTCTCTATATGTCAGCCTAAATGGATCTGCTCCTCAGCTCCTAGAACACGATGGGGGGGGGGCTCGCCCTCCTTTCATTGCCAGTTACAATTTTTACCACCAAAACTTGCATCACCAAAATGTAAACTTCTTAAAAGAAAGATCTACCCTGGCCCATTATTATATCCACACCAAACCTACTACTACGCACACAAAAGGATTTTCAATGACAGTTTCAAATATTAAACTTACATACAGGCTATACTGTTAGGCAGCAAGACAGTGGTGGTGATGTGCAGAGGCAATGGTTCAGAATCTGCCACTTGGTGACCTTGGGTCTCTGATTACTCCCTTGCAAAGTGGATGTAATAACATCATTTTTCTTATTGGAATATTCTAAGGATTAAATGATTTATCATATGAAAAGTACTAGATCATAACAAGTATTTCATAGGACTAATTCTGTTGACGTCTCCCACAGAATTAAATCCAGTAATGTCTTCCAAGCAGTCAGTATGCTAAGTGAGTGACTGAATCTGTTCTGTAGTCCTGTTGGTATGGTAACTTTTTGTGACTTTCATTCTCATTCCCTCATATTTGTTCTTCCTTTTTATAGAAAGCATCCTTAGGATTATCATTATCATGCGTTATTTGAGTTGTTTCTTCCATGTCTTCTCAATCATCTTTAGAGTAGCCATGTTTTGCCTTTTAGGAATAATCTCAAAGTGCTGCTTATGTATTGTCTATGCATTGAGATAAGTGCCTTTACGTTTGCAGAAACAAACAAACAAACAAACAAACAAACCCCAAATCGTGCCATAAATCTCTTGGATAAACCTTTCCTCTTGAATTTCTAACCATCCCTTCCTCCCTTCCTTCTTCTTTCCTCCTTTTCTTCCTTCACTCCTCCTTCTTGCCCCCCATTCCTCCATAGGTTTGGATACACATAGTTGCTTGTTAACTGTTTCTGAAACAATGCTATTTGTTTCTCTGCCCAGCTAATACAATGAAATCAGAAGCATCATCTTAATGCAAAAAAAGATTAATTTAGCAGCAACAGTTAATGTATGCATTGTCAAGACAGCACAGAATAGAAACCATGGCAATTACTGTTTAGTGGGCACCTTTTCTTCTCTTTATCAGTTGGCAAAAATCAGAGGCTTTGAGGAGCAGGATTCAGTATCCACGGACCTCCAAGAGGTATATTCCCAAGATTCAGCCCACTTCACTATATGTGGAGGAGATGATAGAGTAGGAAGCAACATATTAAACAGTGTCTTCTATCCTATGAACATTTGGAAGGATTTTATTTGCTACATAAAGTTTCAGTCTGACTAAAAAGGTAAGATTACCTATTAAGTCAATGTTGTCTTGATATGACTCTTCAACCATAATAGAAAATTAGCTTTTACAGATAACATTCCTGTGTATGTGGAAAATCCCAAAACACCATCATCAACAACAAACTTCCGGTACAAATCAATAATTATAGAAAGGTTGCAAGATACAAGGTTAATACGTGAAAACTAATAGTCTATATGTCAGCAATTAATAAAGTGCAAATGGAAGTGAAAAACACAGCATCATTTAGAATAGCTCTAAAGTACAGAATCTTTAGGCATGAGCCTACCAACAGCAGAAAAGGCCTATATAAGGAAAAGTACAAAACTGATGAAATAAATCCAAGAAAGGAACAAAGGAGTGGAGACACAGTCCATGATAATGGCTAAGAGCCTCTCTTTAAGATGCCATTTAAGATGAGAAATCACAGGCTTCACTAAGTAAGAGATGCAGATGATAGTAAGGCATTTTATACCTGACACTCAATATCAGATATATTATGCAACTGCAAATTCCAACAATGAGATACTAAGACACACTTATTCCCGTGGTCACAATCCCAAATGCCAACAGCACCCAATGCTAGCACAGGTAGAAAACATTAGGAACTTAGCCATTGCTGGTGAAAAGCAAAATGCTACAGCCACTTTGAAAAATTGTTTGACATGTTATTACATGGTTAAATGTAGTCTTATTATATCGTTCAGCAGTCTCAGAAGTAGTTGTGCAAATGAATGGGCATAGAGGCCTCTGTTCATAATTGTCTCCCAATTAGTAGAACAAAACAAAACAAAACAAAACAAACATCCTTCCATCAGTGAATAGATACGCTCCAGTGTATGTACTGAGTAGATATTATTTAGCAATAAAATATGTGCTGTGAAGTTGTAAAATGTCATGGAAGACTGTTTGGTGCACTTTTGTAAGTGAAATCAACTAGTGACATATAGCATGATTCCCACTACCCATCTAGGAAAGGCAGAACTACAGAAACAGTACAGGTAAGTGGGTGTCAAGTGTCCAGAGAAGGAAGAGAAGTATGAATCAGTTAAGCCTAGTGGAGCATCAGAGCAGTGAAACTACTGTGTGTGATAATGTACTGTGGATACATGGCATTAAGTGTTCATCCAATGTGGAGCTGTATAAAAGAACAAAGCCTGATGTCAAGTATGAGTTTTGATTAAAATACTGTATATACTGGTTAATCTAGTGTTACAAATACATTACCTTACTGCAACATTAGTAAAAATAGGGGAAGTTGTAAAGGAGGAAGTGTATATTGAAATTCTTTACTTTTCACTCAAATTTTCCATAAATTAGCACCTGCTTCTAAAATATAAAATCTACTAAGAAAATAGCTTCGCCATAACAAGTTAAGTTAAATTAGATAAAATTATGGACTAAATGTATTAAAGCTATACACATGAGTATATATGCACATGTACAACTTCAGATAAAATAACTATACATTTCTTTTCACCATGAATCCCGGATATTACACTCCGTTATTTTCCATCTCCTAGTGTAATGCATGTGCCAAGGAGCTAACAGGGTAAACAGGAGGTGAACAAATCCAGGTAATGATAAATAAATTTGCTTTGTTGGTAGAAAATGGGAACAAGATCTAAATGAACAGTGGGAGACATTGGGTCCAGGCAAGATAAATTCTTCAAGGACAGAGTAATGTCAGTCATTAAGGTATACAGTTACTAGTCCATATATTTAATTCTATAGTTATCTCACTTTCTTGACAAGAAATATGGATGGATATCTGATTGTACAACTACATACCAAAATATATTTCAAATTTTCCCAATAAGCAACAATGTAAGGAAAAGAAAAACACGTACCAATTCATCGATGCTGACCATTAGCACATTCTCATATTCTTTACCTTCTTTATCTTTAATATGGCAGTCAGATGAAGTTACTGGCAGCAGAACAAGAATCAAGGGAGGAATTCCAAAGATATACCTAAAAGAAACTAAATTCAACAGTTAATAAGAATGAGCTGTCAAGCCACATTGCATGATGTTGTGTTTCCACAATGGGTCTGAACATCTATTTCTAAAAATCTTTAAAATGCATCTCAGTTCCAAGGATAGAGAAGGAAGAACCATAAAATTGAAACGGATCATAATTAAGGCAAAACAGCATTTCAGAATTAGCTTCTTTCCCGTAGTGACGGCTCTCAGGGAAAGCACAGAAAACAGATATGAAGAAACCAAAGACTGCTTTTTACAAGCAAGGAGGAGAGGAACATGGTGGTTTTTTCAGTTCTGATTTATGTAGAACAGCTCTGTAAGGAAATATATCTACAGATAAAAAGATGCATGGCAGTTTTACAAAGTTACATATTGCTTAAATCTTATATAATATGGCATATGATTGTTTGCCCACATAAAAACCATAGTCCATGTGAAGGCAAATCCAGGCCTTTCCTGGAAGCAGAGCTGTGGGAGCTGGGGTCACCTACATGGCTCTGCACTATGACTGCTCTGTTACAATGATGGGCCTTACCTTCCCAAACCCTGACAAAGTTAGATTGTATTTCTGAATTCTTCTCCCTGACTCATTATTTTATGTATCTACATGCCTAGAGACTCAGATTTTTCTATGCATAGTTCTGTTCAACTTGAGCATGTCAGGAAAAGCTCAATAGCTAGACTCACATCTTCTCAACTGATGATTTATGGCTATTTTTGCTAAGAGGCAGCTGTCCGATCAAAAGGAATGAATTATGAATAATAGCATCTGGGGCAAATACATAAAATTGTACCTAGGAACCTCAAATCTGACCTATTTCTTCATGAGTCTGCCACGTGTCTTGCTTGCGGCTTTCTATGAACTCAGTTGTGTTGACAATATACTTATGTGGACCTCCCAATTAACCAAATACCTGTGCAGAACACTACTTTCTATGTGTGTCTTCTCTAAATAAGAACCCAAACAGTATTCCTTCAAACCCAAGGAAATGATACCGTGGCAACAGCCTAAAAATTGTAAAGGATGCCATAAGGATGTCATCTATCTTACCGCTCTCTCTCATATTAAAAAGGCAGCCACACTCTCCAATAAGGTATGATCTTAGTGATCCTATTTTTACAAATAAAGTAGATTGGATAGCAATTATGGGAAAAATATAAATCACATTTTACATTTTCATATGTCACTGACACTTGACATACTCAGAAAAAAATAACCTCCAGGAGTGGGGCATGAAATCTATTCATAACTCCCCACTAAATACTTATATGCCTGATGTGAAATAATTTCAAATCAATAATGATTATGATCCTAGTTGCTTATTTGGGTAACTACCATGGATCTGAAGAGATTTGATTTTCTCCTCTCTCTCCTCTCTCTCTCTCTCTTTCTCTCTCTCTCTCTGTCTCTCTCTCCTATCTACCACTCTATCTCCGATTAACATATGTGTATATAAACATACATACATATTATTCTATTTTATTATACTTTGTATATGAAGAAAAAGCACTTCATCTATTTTTGTAACACAGAGAAGAGTTTGTATGTTTAGATGTTAACCCAAGTCTTCCATCTCATTGGGATTTAATTTTTTTTAAAAAGGCCATAGTTTTTTTTGAAACAGGGTCTCCCTGTAGTCCCAGTTGACCTGGAACTCACTATGTAGACCAGGCTCGTCTCCATCTCACAGAGATTCACCTGCCTCTTTCACCTGCCTCTGCCTCCTGAGTGCTGGAATCAAAGGCACGCGGCACTATGTCCAAGGGCCCTATCTTTTAGTTTTGTGTTATCAGACAGGTTTTCTGAAGGAATGCCACTTCTATGAAGTAGCATTAAGCCCACTCTCTCTCTTCCATTACCATTCTTTCACTTGGAGATCCTCAGTGATCAACTGCTAATGGGTTTTATCAGATCTATACAATTTTTTCATGGTTACACACTTTTTATGTTCTCTTTCATTTTATGTTTTATGCTTTGAGAAGAAGAGAAAAGGGAAAAAGATAGGGCACATAATTTGAAATGAACATCAAGAATGTAACAAAGTCATTACATGCTAGAGTGGAAAGGAGATGGCTTCACAATTACATATAAATATTATTTAAAAGGTTACCTTCCATTTTTTTTGTTGTTGTTTTTGCTTTGTCTTTTTGAGACAGGGTCTCCCTGTAGCCTCAGCTGTCCTGGAACTCACTATGGAGACCAGGCTGGCATTGAATTTACAGAGATCCGCCTGCCTCTGCCTCTGCTGGGATTAAAGGTGTGTGCCACCACGCCTGGCCGCCTTCCATGTTTTAACAGGTGAAGTTTTACTTTTCTTCTTCATGCCAATTTTCAGTGATAAATACTCCCAAATTAAGATGAACATACTGATTACTGGAGCGTTTTATGAATACTTTACAGTGGTGGTTTGATGGACTATTCAGATTCTGTGTATGTGCATACTACAATGAATTTTTCAATTCTAAAACTATACTAAAAATAGTTTGCCCTATCTGTAGAGTCTTGTTGAGTAAGTTAGTTCCTGGCAGAGTAGGGTACTCACAAAGCAGGGACAGTTTAGATTCTTGGGAGTTTTGTCTTGGTGTGACTAAGTGAACAGCTGTATTTCATTTAAGCTTCATGTCCGTGACCTCTAAAATGAAAACTTTCAGTGACTTCTTAATATATGTCTTTCTGATCTCAAACACCTAAACTTGTAAGATTCTACCTCATCATCCAAATAGAGGATCTCTTCAGGTTTGAAAATGTCTCAGGTATAATTCTACAAACACACCAGGGCCTAGGACCTACATGCCATGGGCTCCTGGCTCTGCCATTAATGCTGTGCAGTTTATAATTTGTAGCTGCAGTTATTTCTTCCACATATATGCACAGTAATAAATTAAGATTTTTCAAGTTTGAGGATGCTTTTGACACTGCTGTCCCAGTGGAAAAGTAATTCAACTTTTACCATATTCTGTGTTTGTTTTTTACTTCATACTATACAGGCATGCACTCTTCTGTCTTCCCTTGGACTTTTCTTTAGGTCACAGAGAAGACAAACCATAGGAACAATGCAAGGCAAGTATTGGCTTGTGGGATTGTCTCTAACTCTCTTGAAGGGATTGAAACTAGAGAATTTGTTTTCAGTAGGGAATTTGGTTAAACCAGAATAATGGCTGCCTAAGAATTCTTGTTGGGTTTTAATGTAAGCCAAATAATACACTCAATCTTCAGCTGCTTAAGTTATGGGGTCAAAGTGAACATAAATAAATTGGCTTCTTCAGTTCATCACATTCAGTTGTTCATCAGTCCTTAAGGCCAAAAAGCCCATTTCATAAGCCTATTTCCACTGCAAATTCCGTCCTTTCATACAGGCCGTTCACATCTTACAGGTGGAGAATCTAGGGCCCGAAGAACAATTTTCCAATACGGTGCTTCCAGTACAGTGGGACTCTCAGCTGACTTGTTCAGCTTGAGGAATCTAGGAAATCGGCTCTTAGCTACTGAATTATACTGCTTCCAATAACATAATTACATGTGCAGGTTGTCAAAGGAAGTGTAGAAAACTGATTTTTTTTCTACATGAACCTCATCAAGGTACTTCTTGGCCAAGCTCTGAAACTGTAGCATATGCTTCTATTTCAGGGGGAAAGAGTAAATATTTGGTCTTACTATAACACATTATCTGTCAAGGGTCAGAATACAAAAAAAAAATCCCACACATGGGTGTACATATGACATGTTGGCAGATATATGAAGGGATTTTTCTATTTATCATTTGCATATTGATGTGGTAGCATTTCTAATGCTGCTTTGCAGGCAGTCAGGCTTTCTACAAATGCTCAGTTCTCTGTTTTAATCATTATTTCATTTTATTAGCACTCAGGTATGGTAAAGTTTCCTAAACAAGATAGCACAACTGAGGATCACATAGTGGATCTTCATTTACTTAACACCCCCAAATAACAAGGTGAAAAACCAAAGAGTTTCACTATGCACCTGCTTGACGTAGCTTAACCATCTAGTGACTCTTGTGGGGGTGGGGAGGATGAAGAAAGCCACTTATTACAATTATCAGGAGTTTACAATATTACTACTTGATTGCTAAAAATTTATGATGCATGACTAATATGGACATACTCCAGGAAATTAAGTCTCCTTGTTAAAATCACACACATTTGCTTCCTTTTGTCTTTTTACCTCCCTACTTTAAATCAGAAGTAAAACGAATATTAAAGTCAGAAGTGAAGGAGAAAGAAGCAATTTCAGGACAACCAAGGGCATTGCCAGGGAAACTGGAACACCCTCAGTTTCCAATGGTGTATGAAACTCCTGGAGGGCATCCCTTACAAATCTTCCATAATTATCTTGTATATTCTCTCTAGTCTCCATATTTTTGCTTTAAGCAAATACTCCATTATGTCAGCTCATGGCTCTCTAAGAGAAGGGAAATGACTGGACCTAAAGCAATGGTCAGGGAAGCCACAGCACAGAGGCCATCCAAAGAGCAGAAGACTGGCTTCCTGCTCTTGCACATACCCCACTGGTCCTCTTGCTTGAGGAAGTGCTTACTGTAAAACATCCCGGTTTCCCTAAGTAGGTCCTCTCTCTTCACAACCCGTTCTCCTCCAGTCTCTTAGAATATTGATTTACTTGTTTGATTGCTTGTTTGTTTTAGCTTTTAGCCTTGGCCACACAGCTTCCAGTGGATTCCAGCCCACATCAATTCTGTCCTTGTGCATTTTAAGCCCTTATATTGGGCACAAATGGAAAAGTAGTAAATCTGATGGGGGCGGGGTGGGGGAGATAGAATTTGGACTCCTGGTTAGCATTTGAGTCCTGCTTTCATCATGCAGAAAACATTTATAAAGAAAATTTAAAAAAAAATCTGGACTTGGGTTCCCAGCAAACAGCGCAATGTACAACCCCAGTCGGAAACTCCCAGACTTACTGAGAGGAGACCAGAGGGTTTTCCAGTGACCTGTCCTTTAGGGTTTAAAAGCACGTACTGGGGGGGAATGTCTCTTACATTCTCTAGGAAGTTCTGCGCTTCAAGAGCCCAGTGACTCGCTGAACCCAGCCAGCCTGTGAGTAACTTAGCGCAGCCACGAGATGGGGAAGGGTTGCTGGGGCGCGGTGTTGGCACAGGGCAACGCTGACTAGGGACAGTCTGTGGCTGCTAGCCACTGACTACTGAGAGCCGGTTGAGGGCTGCTACCGCAGTGTGGCTCGGGGTGGCAGCACTGGGGTCTGGGGATCGAAAGCAGCCGTCAGGAGCCGCGCCTGCCCGGGGGCAGCACGCCCAGGTTCGAGTGGCTCTGGGCCACTGTACCTAGCCCCGGGTAGTGACTGACCATGGGCCGTGCTCCAGGCAGGTCCAAAGTGCAAGGCCGGGCTATTCCTGGACCTGCGGAGGTGCGGGGGCAGATGGCACTCCCGGGTATTCCGGGAGTGCCCCGGCGCGCTAGACGCACGGACTCCTGCGCGCGCGCGAGCAGCGCTTACCATGGAACATGGTCTGCGGGAGACGGCGTAGTCATGACCGCGACTGCAGCAGGAGCGAGCTCACACCACCCATAATCACGCCCAGACCCCGGTCTTCCGTGGAGTTGCCACAGGCTTGTGCTGGCCAGGGTAGTGTGGGTAGCTGGCTCCTGTCCTCCACGCGGCGCCTGGTCCATCCATCCCTGGAGGGGCGGCACGCATCACGGGCCGGCCGGGCGCTCTGCTGTTCCCATAACTTCCGTAGGATCTGCCGGCAGCGTACTTTCAGTTTCTACTTTGCGCTGGGTCTGAAGGGTCAGTGTTTGGGTTTATCCCTGAGCTTCTTCACTGTGCACCTGGACCAGGATCAGCGGACACTGCGTTTTTTCAAAGTTCCCCAGGTGAAACCCGCTGGCATTCTGAACCAGAGATTCGGGCTAAAAACGCATTCCAGATGACTGCTAACCGTCTTGCAACTCTGGGAGAATGGGAGCTAAGACTACCCGTTGCTAATACGTCCACGGAAGCTACAAATGTGCAGCTGGGCGAAAGCTGGTTATTGCAAGTCAATTCCACAGAGGAGGCGTCGCCGCTTCTACCGCGGATGTGCCAGACGTTGCCAAGTCATCTTGTTAAAGGAAAAAAAAAGGAAGTGAAGAATGATTAAGAGGGTCACGCCCGCCCTCTTCTCCTCCAACCCCTCTAATCAGTTTCTTTCCTCTCTGTCTTATGTACAATACACCTGCTCAGATGGAACTTTAAGAAAAAATAATTCTTGTGAGCCCACCAAATCTAGTAAGTAGGTAACTTACAAAATCAAAACTCAAATTAGTTGGAGGACAGAGAAATTAGTCACAGTAACTCTGACTCCCACAAGTGTGTTTATCTGACTTGGTTAAGAAATTATACATCTTGACTCTTTGCA